CAAAAAATAAATGCCATCTATTCCATCACCAGTTTAAATTTGTTTCAAGTTAAAATATTGATTAATACTTCAGATTTGATAAAAACAATAGTATATCCTTGCAAAATGACACCTCTAAACATAACACAAATCTTTATAATTACATTATATTAACTTATCAAAGAAAATTTTAACAATTCAGATTTGTTATTTTAAAACAATACATAAACTTAAATATAATTCTTTATCTTAATTTTGGTGACAAATAATATAGAATTCTTTTAATTGTCACTGAAAAAAGAATTATTTGTCACTGAAATTAGAATTCAAATTAAATCCTTAATCTAATGTATAATATTGCGTGAAATAAGTCCTAACAAGTTAATTAAGTGTGAAGTGTAAAAGTGCCTTTTTACACATTACTAAATATCTTATTTTACATATACTGTATATACTGTACTATAACATTACTTAAATTGTACTAACCATCAAGCTTCATTTCTTGTTAAATATTCTGAATGTAATCAATATTTCTTTTGTTTATTACTGGTAATAGTATGTAATCATTTAAATCCTTTGAGATTGGAATCTGTTATTCGTTTAATAGTATCATTAGTATTTTGAACCAGTATAAGCAAAAATTTTTTATATATTTAAAATTTTTTTTGACAGTCATAAATGATATCTACTTTCTCTTTTAACCAGTTCAAGAGCTTTAAATTGAACTGCAGCCTTTATTAAGTATTTAAATTAGTTCTGTAGTTAAATAATTTCAAGATTTTAATTTGCAAAAAAAGTTTTTGTCCGCTGATAGCATAGCCTTGTTGCCTCTATCACAATGAACATCTTCGCAGGAAAGCCTGATACTGTAACATAGTGTGATATAATATTAATTCTATTGTGATATATCACTACAAACATCTTCACAGGAAAACTGTTACTGTATCATATACAAGTTATATTTTTGCAATATCACAAGCTGTGAATGTCTTGAGGGTTAAAAAGAAAAAAGACCTTTGGGCTAAATGACACTATGCTTACAGGTGAGATTTTCATCATATTCTTATTAGTTTTAATCTATAAGATAGTCATATAATACTTAATTTTGGTATCTTCAAGAGACTTTAATTTTTCGATACGTATTTCTTCATTTTTGAGAGTAGATAAGTCTTCAAGTATCTTTTTTTTTGTTTTGATAAAAACTTTAACTTCCTTATCTTCATTATTAGTCTATTCATTAGCCTTTATTCTTGCGTACATTGCTGTGATGATTATTATTTTATAAGGGGTTTCATTTAATAAAAATTTTTCCATTATCATTAGGTCAGAGATTTAAAAAATGGGGTATGTTTATTTGATTACTTTTAATGATAAATGTGAAAGATCGACAAATATTCACCAATCAGGATCAAGCAAATTGAAGATCCTTGTATCTTTAGAATTGGTATAATTTTTGTAAAATTTGCAAAAAAAAAAAAAAAGTATTTATTAAAATTATATTCATTAGTACTCAAGAATATCAGATCAAATAAATTATATTTCGATTATCAGAACTACCTCTACACAACTACTTCCAACTACGTATCAATTTACTTTTTTCTTTGTATTTGATCTAAAAGGCAAAACTTCAATTGAACCATATTAATCATCAACTGGATTGGTAAATCTGCTAAGACAAAAGTTGAAGAAAAAGTATTAAAATTGTTGTATGAACTCAGGAGAGCATACTTATCATTGTTTGTAATGCTAGCAGGGGCTCATCAAATCGTATCAAATTCATCAAATTTAATCTACAATCATGCGCAAGTAAATACCTTTGAATTTGATTCAGAATATCGTGAAGATATTGGGTATGGGCGTGGAGGCTTAAGAACATTATCTAGAACTCCTAACACTAATGTAGATAATTGATAAAACTTGATAAGAATTTATAAAATTGATGTAAGTATTACAAATTTGTTTAGTAATTTATAGAATTAGATATCTAATAAGAGACGAAAATGAAAAGTACAATCAATTTCTAAAAAATCTTTTAAATGACATTGAAGCTAGTCACGAAGCTTCCAAATTTGATAAATTTTTAATGCTAAGGTTAGAGTATTATCACATGATTTTGTGGTCCTGCAGGACCACACAATCATGTGATCTTCTTGGCTAGCATTAAGATAAAATAGTTTATTAGTGTAATTATATAACTTACTGTTATCGTTATGTAATCCAGATTTATTTTTCACAATTTTCTAAATGAGACATAATAAAACCAGACTCATTTTAACTTTTGAAGATCTCTTAAAAAATTTATATTTTAGATTATCTTAAGCCCTTATTAAGCTCTTAGTACAAAATAGTCAACAAGTCTTTAATTGAAGATATCTTGATAATTAATTTTTTTTATTTGAATTTTATATATTTGTAGAATTTAAATAAAAAAATTTTATTAAAATTAGTTACGTAGTTACCAAAATATCTTCAATTGAAGTTAACTATAAACGAAAAGGATAGATTATTTTATGTTATTTTTACGAATTATATAAAGAAGTATATACATAATAAATTAAATTCTAAAAAATTAAAAAATAGGAGAAATAGAAAAACTTGATATATTAAAATGAACCTCATTTTCTATTGTGATTGTTTTTGATTTTTTTAATGTATCTGTAATTTAAAAATAAATTTTTTGTATAAAATGAGAATAATTAGTATTAGTATATATATTAAAAATAAATATTCTCATATTCCAGCACTATAATGTTAATGTTGATACCGATATGTAATTCGGTAAGATTAAAACAGCTTTTAACTCGTTATTTATTGTTAATTGAACATGAGACTTTATCAGGATAAAAACTAAATTGACTCCTATGGCTATAGGGCTATAGAGTTTAAAAAATTAAAGCTAATTCTCAACAGCCATAGTTCTCAATGATATTTACCTAGTAATTTTTGTAGCAAACAAAGAAGCATTATTTTTTTCTTCAAAAACATAGGAATGTACTTAATTTTGTGTAATATCATTATCGTTATATCATAAATTCATAAATTATACGTGTCGTTATCGTTATCAATTAAAGTTTTTAGTTTATCCAATATCGATTTGCTCTTTTAAACTTAAATTTTTATTTGACGTTGATATCCCAAAGCATGTTATCCTTTATAAGGATGATAAAAAAAGGATGCATCAAGATGGAACTTATTAACTTGTATAGTAAAATAATAAATTACTTAATTAAGCAAATTGTTAAGAGCATATCGGATGCCAAATATACACTTGTTAATTATTATTATTTTTTATTAACATTGCTCGTATTTTGTGATTAAGAGTTCTAATTAAAGTAATTTGGATACTGTACTATTCGATTCTGATAAAAAAAAACTTCAGTACTTCATATTACCGGTACCTCATATGCCAAAATACCCGACCCTCCCTTAATAAATATTAAAAAAAAAAACTTTTGGCCATTACGCATTGTTAATATACGTTACTATAAAAATCACGATACAATTATGTACAATTTAAAAATAGTCACTTTTATTTTTAATATTGATAACTTTTGGGAATACTTATATATTACATTTTAAAAAAAAATTACAGAGTATTAAACTAGATCAAAAAACTGTTCTTTGAGCAAGAAAAAGAAACTAGAAGTGATAATTTAGTAATATTATGAGTAAAGTGTTGGGTTAAATAATTATTTTTATGCGCGTTCAATAGATTTATTTTGCTTAAACGCATAATACAAATTCTTATTAAGATTCAATAAGATCATAAGAAATAATAAAAAAAATAATAATAAACTTTTAAAATCATAAAATTTAATTTTAGATAGAATAATTAAGGAATTGTTATAGAATTTACATAATTATTATATGCATAACTAATGTCTTCATATCTAAGCTCTGCTATACACTCTAAATATTCAAAAAAAAAATGTAACACCTATTTTTGTAGTGAAAATATCGACATATATGTCATAAGCCTTCTCTAAAATATCACTCATACAGTGATATGCTAAAAAATATCTTAAATGTCTGACTATATTACTTCTGTTTCTACTGCAATTATCATTATGTTTCATGGACCAGGTTAAGTACCATAGAAAAGTTTTCCAAATTCGATCACGAATACAATAGCTATCAGAAATAATATCATTACTAACAACGAAAAACTCACAATCACTGTGAATTCTTTCTTGGATGAACAGATCAGTAATAGTAGAAAGATGTCCAAATAATTCATTGTATAACCTTTTGTCATTAGAATGAAAAGAGATCTTCAAGATTTCCTTAGCAAAAGGTATAACCTGCTTCAAAAAAAGTTTATATAATCTTTAAAGGTCCTTTTTTCTAAAGTACCAAATCCAAAATTCATCATCATAAGATTCACCAATAAATATTATTCTGTCATCTTAATTATCCTACAGCATCATATGTCTAGAGAACGGTGTCGAACCTGTTGACTACCTCAAACTACTCTACAGTAACTTACACTTAAGGAAATAGCAAACAAGAGAAGCCTAATATAGTAAATGCTGAGAATCTCACATAGCTATAAAGAGAATCGATTATATAGTTATCATGAGGTCCTATAAATACCAAAACTACTATCAAGATCTTTAGGTATAGTGATACAAACTGAACATTGAACAGCATAGATTATTTTAAACCAACTACCATCATCGTAATTTGGTAGCCTCTTTTGAAAGTTTTTTTTTCTTGGATTTTTTTTAAGATACATGTATTTTTCTGTTTTTCTCTAAGATATAAAA